GTGGTGGCGAAGTCGATAGGGACTTGGCTTGGCAACTGGAAGGTCACCAGTTCAAGTCCCGGCAAGACCAAGTGCTACCGAGGTGTTCCTGAGCAAGGCACTGCTCCCTGGGCGCCGTTCAAAATGGCAGCACACTGCTCCTAACACTAGGATGGGTCAAATGCAGAGAAACAATTTCCCCATGGGGATTAATAAAGTATATCAAAATAATAATAAATCAAAGGCATTGTAAAACCCATTTTTATATGCCTTTTTTCATTCTAGAAAACAGTACAAACTTTGACATACTATAAAGCCCCACCTTACTTTTACGTCAGGCTGCTATTTTTAAATCCTTCCCTCAACTTTCCCCTTCTCAATGATCAGGTGGTGATTTAGGGCTGGGGGAACCTGTATCATTTTAGATTCTGTAAACTCTCACTTAATCCATGTTGATCAAAGAGGATTTTTAGATATAATAATCTTAAACGTTATCATCAGAAGTTTTCCAAAGCAAAGGTGACCCTCCTTACACTGGACCTGTGCTTCCAGTTCAGCAGAGTTATGTGAAGCAGCTGTTTTAGGATCCTAACCTGACACCTAGCAGCAAAGGCGTTCAGTTGCAGTAAACAAGGACAGGCATTCCCAAAAATAGTGGTCACATTTTGCACCACATGTGGTGAAGGTTTTCTGCAAACGGAAAACAATTTCTTTATCATTTAAGCTGAAAAGGATAAAACGAGTTTCTGTCTTATTGATGTTCTTACTTGAATGCTGGGATAGTATATTTTAACACCCAGGCATAAAAAGGCTTCAGTTAATAATAATTAAAGGCAAGGCCGTCTCAAACTGCTGAACTTTACTTGTCTCCGTCAGGGTGTGTGTAAAAAGTATGACGTTAATAAGGGTACGTCTGTGGCCAGATAGACTTGAAATTCTAGTTTGTTGGTGACTAAAACTACTCAATATAATGAGCACTGTAAATGAATGAGAAGTGTAAGAGATTGAAAAAGCAATCAATTTGGTATATGGTTTTTTCAGGTCAGCAGAAATGGGAACAGAGATCCCTAGATACCCAATCGCCTTTCTGCTTCTATAACTGGAAACTAGATAATGTACCAAAAAGAGAAGGATGGGAAATCATCTAAAGGAATATGTTCTACAAAACTGCCAAGGGTTTTTTATGATGGTACATATGAAACCATGCTTTAAAGCAAAAATAGACTATTTCCATGATGGACGTTTACATGTTGTTATATATATTATTATATTATATCTTAGTCATTTAGTGTATTCTTTATTGCCTTTGCTAGTCGATTGTCCTGTCCAACACCTTTTTTGTCTCGACCTGGATTTGTTGACATCTACAGGCCCCATTGATAAGGAGGAGGATGATAAATAGGTACAAAGAGGATGACTGAAGAGGACTTGTTGAACATGTTTTAATTTGGATGGACTTGTATGGGTGTCATACACCAACTCTTCATGCTTGCTGTGATCCATTTTGCAAAATAAATGTCTTTCCCCTAGTGCTTTAGAATCAATGATTACATGTGTATACTGTAAATGAATGCAATATGATTTGATGATATTAATTGGCAAGGATGAACGCTGATGAATAATAGATAACCCTTTGGTCTTTCCTGTGGTGATGCCACAGTCTTACGCAATCAATGTGGACCAACCCAATAAAGCCAGTTTGGCTTATTTTGCCGCTTAAACTAGAAAATGTGCTGAAAATCATTTTAAAAGCAACATTCTAAAGATGGATAGTCAACCAAAACGTTTAACTGAACTATTGGCAGCTCGGTCAGTTTATACAAAACTGTAACCGATTTACTGCCAATGTAATCACTTATTTTGAATTTACTGTAATGGTGTCATGACTTGTTCTGATGAGTCATTCTGAAGCATGTACTACAAGCATGGATGCTAATCACAAAATCATTGTGGTGTGGGGAAGTCGTGTGAATTCATTTAACTTTTGAACCTACGTTTATGCATAAATTGTTATTTGCAGTTATTGTTAGAGTAGTTTTTAGATGTGATCTTTAAACAATGAACAATACAGGAACTACATTGTCAGGAATATTTGACCAGGGCGGGTATAGGCGCCTACACAGTGGTACCATTTTGTTTTTATAAGCACACAGTACTGACAATGCCAACAACCTGTGTTTATACTGCACTGTGCAAACAGAACAGGGGGTAGGTAACATGTTGTGTGTCTGTGTGCAAGTTCAATTCCTGACAGACATGAGACTTTGCTGCATGTCAGAAAGTGATCAATCAACTCCACCATTTACAGCGTCTGCAAGGTTATCTTTGTTTTATATGACCTGGATTAGCCATCTGTCCCCATTAACTATGAATAACAAGTGTCTTTACCCTCTGCAGTATGGAAGCAACTTTTTATAATGGCGTTGATGTTGAAAGCCATGTTACCATGGCCGTTTGAATTTTAAGGGACATTTTCTTTTCCTGCCCTGCAGAAATACGTGTCTCAATCTGAACTGACTTGTGAGACACACCTTAATTTCCTTATGACGCATATGGCACACCTAATTAACCTTTTACCTAGAACAAAACACTATACAGATCATACAATTCTTTAGAGCGGTTCTTTCACCAAATCAAAAAAAAATACTTGATTATTCAAAAAATGATTCAAAAAACAATTAAACTATTATGTATCATCGATGTTTAATGAATAATCCTTACTGAAAATATACAGACTGGTCATCACCACCTGCTAATCCAAGCGAGCAGCCAGCTCAGCTTTACTGCCGGTCATTGAGTCTATTTCAGTCAATTTGACACAAGAGTGCTGCGACATGAGTGCGCAGAGGAAGCATTTCAGAGTTGCTACATCGCACATGTTTAACTGCATCCGAATACTGCGGAATCACTGACGCACTATGTAAAACCAAACTGCGCAGGGAATATCGACTCAATTCGAGGAGATAAACAAACGCAACTCCCTAGTGGAATGTTTCTACAACCAAAACAGAACATATAAGACTTACCATTGTTGCTTCTTAGTGGGATTTCCTTTAAAAGAAAAGAAACGTGCAGTGGGCTTTAGTTTCGTCAGTAGCTTCTCACGGCGTCCTACAATGCGGTCCGAGTGAGTGAGTATTGCCAGGTGGGCGAGGAGCTGCGACGCTATATGCTTTCCACTGCAAACCCCTCCCACCGGTGTGTCTGACGTGAACGTGCATCGTGAGCGCGCAGGCCACTTTATGTACTGCAGCTGTGCAGCATACTGCGTTTGTGTTATATGGTGTTATCATCGAAATTCAATTCAAATTCAATTCAAATTCAAAGGCTACATTTGTCATATGCATAGACTCTGTGTAGAGGCTACAGTGTAGTAATGGCAATGAAAATCTTAAGTGCCAAGCTCCTCCAACATTGCAACGTAGTCATAGGACATAAAACAGATTTTCTTTTTAAAATAGTGTAAGAGGAAACAGTAGATTAGAATATAATAGTGCAGATTATGTTGCAAGACCAATGTGCAAGTAATGCAGATGAAGTAATATATATACATGTTTAATTCATTCCCTGCATTTTGTCTCAGTGTCCTTACATGATGATGGTCTGAATGCTCTTTAGGCATATATTATGGGTCTCAGATATATACAAATATATAAAAAACATGTCTATGATGTGTTTTGCTCAAAAATACCAAACAGATCATGCATTTTAGAAATCCCTCATATCCCTCTATTTCAGGCCTGTTAGAGAACTGCAGGTTCAGGGTCCTTAGCTTGAAAAAAAAAAAGAGGAGGGGGAGCTTGTGCCTGCTCAGTATTATAAATGCTGCCGTGGTTAAATGCCATATCATGTTCCAAATATGGAGCTAATCTCCTGCCATAACTCCACAAACAAACTAAACAGGTTTTACAAATGACTTATGGTTCACTAACAAACACAGTGTGGTTAGCAAATAAGAAACACCACCTACTAATGCATTTAGTATTGCAAAAAAAAAACGTATATATCAAACAAACACATTACACTTTTTTAAGAAATCATGTTTCAGAGACAAATTCAGCATAGGTTTTACAAGTACAAAACTTTTTTTTACAAGTACAACACTTTTTCTTCTCACGTCACGTAATATTCCGCCGTGGTTGTGCTCAGGATTTTCTCACAAATGTACACATATACAATCACACATGCTCCACGGCAGCAGGGGGCGCTACTGAGTCCATTTGGACGGCGGGAGGATGAGCAGAGCATGGAATAGCCCCTGCCAGTCTGATGACAGCGTGTTTCTAGCGATCCGTTACCAGACTAACAATATGTTAAATATCTCTCATTGTCTGGCTTAAAGGTGGGGTAGGTACATTTCAGAAACCGGCTCGAGATACACTTTTTGTTATATTCCATGGAATGCTCTTAACATCCCGATAGCTATGAATATCTTAAGTGCTTTGACAAAAAATCCATTAAAAAATTTCATCTGTGGAAGCCGTAATACTGTAAAAAGTACAACCAATCCGTTTAGCCGGGGTGCCGCCCTGTCGGTCAGCCTTCCATCTCGTGCACGCACAAATGTATCTCGTGCCCTCATTGGGCGTGCCCAAAGCCCTAGAGAGATAAGAGTTACGACACTCTATGATGTCTTCGCCAGCCGGTCACGTGGTTTACGTATGCCGGGATAGTTCCAAACGCACTTCCGTGGCAATGCTTCTCTATGGCAAAAACAGCACAAACATGGTCAAAATAGTCATAGATTAAACCAACGCTGTTATTTTTTAAAGATTGCTTTCATATTTACATGATGTGGTTACACTTTGTATGGATTGGCACTATTTATAAGTTTCGTTATTTAACGATATTTTGAGGGGAAAGTGTGGCAGCACAAGCAGGCTATGTTGCTGTCACTGCCAGGGCAGTCACGTCCGTAGTATAGTTGCGCTGCGCTGTCATGTTCTTCTATGGGACAGACAGACAGCAGCGATTGCGTTATTGAATGGTAAATATATATAAAAAAACACACACCCAAGTACTTTTTCAGCTGTAATTGCATTATTGCATACTTTTTATTGACAGTTTTGCATTTGGAGAGGCAGGATGACAACGGAAAGCTTGGTAGCCTTACTTAGATACGTTTTACATGTTTGGAGGGAAACGCTTGTGTTCATGTTAGCATGAGCATGATCATGTTAAGACTATGAATATCATTTTACCACAATAGTGGATGAACAATTGATATATGTGTTTGAACAAGAACAACAGGAAGAACAAAGTAAAAGGGACGAACAAATGTGTGAACAAGTATTAAGAACAGTGTATGGAAAAAGTGATGTGATGTGGGATGTGTGTTAGAACAAAACAAAGTCAAATGAATGAGAAGGAGAACAAAGAGGGTTAGGGTTCAACAGAAAAAGATTAATTCAGCCAAAAAACACAATTTTGATTAATCTAAAGTGTAAAACAATCAACACAGACCAAATTAGTTCCCTTGGACAACAAAACATGGTGGGGCAAAATATACTACTATGATAAATATTCAAACTATTTACAAAACTATTTACAGAAGCTCCTGTTGAACCATGGTTCAACAGAGCAACAAAAACAGGTTTGTCAACAATACAAATTAAAATGACGAGGCCACTTTGCCAGGGGGAGGTGATCCAGCGACGAGACAATAAAAAAAAAGAGAAACTGAAAAAAGCAATTCATATTAGGTTCTGTTGAGACACTACAGGATATAAAACCTTCCAAGCCAAGACCTCTGCCTGAAATCAGGACCACTCAGAGGAGAATGCAGCACATCAAACTGGAGTCAGGAGTGGGAATAACACATTTTGGCCAAAACAAATTGTTGCTTACCAAACAGTGGCTGAACAATGGACACCAAAAAGTGAAAAACAGAAGCATAATTGTGCGAACAACAATTGTACAAATATTTACAAACAACTATTTACAAAAAAGTAACTATTTATAAAAAAGGGTTAGGATAAGCAACTATTTACAAAAAAGCAATACTACTTACAAAAAAGCAATAAAGAACTCTAGGGCATCCAGGAGCCTAACCATTTTGAAAAAAACAAAAAGGTTCCTTTGTGAAAGGGACATCCTCTTCATCTGTTTCCTGGGCCCTAAAAAGCAGAGCAAGAATAGGAACAGTGGTGAATAAGGGGAGAGAATACAGTTGGGAGCAGACTGAACAGAGGACATAGCAATATTCATGTTAAAATGTTTGCACAACAAATATTATGGCACTTTCGTTTATATTGCATTTTAATAGATCAGTTGTCATACCATGGTTGGATGTGCAGCATTTGGATGCTCTAATCGATCCGAGAAGGGGTTCCGGATGTATGGCTCCCCTAAGGACGTAGAGCGAAGGAAGAGATGGATAGCAATGGTCAACAGACAACAACAGTCAAGGAGTATGCCTCCAGCTGTTAATGTCAGGAATGATGACCACACCTATTATGGCACATCACACATTGGTATGATATATGAAGCTAACAATGTTTCCCATGTTATATAATTCAAGGATAGACTACACTCCTAATGCAACCTTCAGATTATACAGCTTAAAAACTACCAGGGTTCAGGGATTCTCTGAAGACTCATATACCACATGTAGATAATCTACAGATTTCTTCATACTTTAACATTGCCAATAGACGAACTTAGAGGAATGTTACTATAGGAGTGTAGTGTACCCTTAAATGACAATAGGTGCACATGTAAAGGCAGCATACACATATAACAGCAAGATTGCCTTGTTATTGTTACAGAGATTCAGGGAGATATTGAGGTGGAGTTCCAAGGGAATTAAAGGGACATAACAGACAGAGAGAGTGAGACAGATATCAGCAGACTGCCAGGGGCCAGTATGTCAGGGGCCGACAATCAAGAGGCCACCTTACCAGAGATCAGTGTGCCAGGAGCCAGTCAGTCAGGGGTCAGCTATGAAGAGGCCAGTTTGCCAGGGTCAGGTGCTCCAGGGACCAGACTGCCAAGGGCCAGTTGTGACCGGGCTCACGTGGAGGATCTAATGAGGCAACTGAGAAGGGAGAGATTACTAAGAAAGAGAGCACAGAGAGGGCTCTGGTAAACCGGAAAAGGATTAATTCAGCATTTTAAAAAAAACAATTTGATTAATCTAAAGTTTAAAAAAATCTTCAACACAGACCAAATTAGAGCCAGATTACCGTCCATCTGATGAGGTTTTCACCCTTGTTCAGAACGTGGAGCAGCTGTTCCGTGTGAGGAGGAGCGATTCCCTCATGGAGTCCTCAAATGCAGTGTCACAGCTGGAACAAGAAGCCATGTTGCTGGACAGCAACCTTCCCTCATGCCATGACCTGAAGAAAAAAATCCTCTCAACATACATCAGGCTGAGGTTAATGATTGCATCAAAGTGCATCAGGGCTGAGAGGAAGGATAAACATAAAGGGTATCTTGGCAGCAAGAGTCAGAGTAAGAAGGCAAAGAAGACCCAACAGACTTCTGCACCGAAGGTCATAACATCTAGGCCACTGCCAAACACCTTACTCGTTGCCATCGATGTACTTGGCATCTCCATTCCCGGTCCACCGTCAGCAGCCTCCAGCCTCCTCTTCTTTCAGCAGTCATCACCTGCAGCCGTTGTATGGGGGTTATTCCCTATCTTTATTCAAGAGCGTGGTATTTAAATTTGAGAGCATACTTTATGTATTTATTTCCCTCAAACCCTGTCCTCACACTCAAATAGTGCCTGCTTGCACTTAGATGTGCTCTGCTTGTGCTCAAACTGTACGCTTGCACTCAGATATATTGCTGCTTACAGATTTTTTCTGCTCAGATTTATTCTGTGTGCGCTCGAAACTTTTGTGCAACAAACCTGTCAAAATCCCTCAACCAATAGGAGGCCAGGTGTCCTTGCGGGTGCGTTCGCTTTACTTATTACAGCGTCCCGTAAGGGCGGTTACTCTTTGGTTTATAAACTCCCGCCCTCCACGGCTTTATAACATAGCAGGCTTGTTTGAGACGCGTTGCGGCTCGCCTCGAAAGTAGACGAGAGTAGCCGATCGCAGACGGGGGAGGTCTCAAAAAACTCGCCTGAAGTCGGACAGCTACGAGTCGGCTTCTTCTTCTTCTTCTTCTTCTTCTTCTTCTCTTCTTTCTTCTTCTTCTTCTTCTTCTTCTTCTTCTTCTTCTTCTTCTTCTTCTTCTTCTTCTTCTTCTTCTTCTTCTTCTTCTTCTTCTTCTTCTTCTTCTTCTTCTTCTTCTTCTTCTTCTTCTTCTTCTTCTTCTTCTTCTTCTTCTTCTTCTTCTTCTTCTTCTCTTCTTCTTCTTCTTCTTCTTCTTTTTTTATTTGGCGGATTGCAAACAACTTTAAGGTGCATACCGCCACCTCCGGAGTCGGCTTGACTCGGTTTGCATGTATAAAGAATGCACACATGTGTTGGGGTTAAGCACAGTTAGTATATGTTTATTTAACGGACAAGTCAAATCAAGCAATCTGATGTTTCTTAGCCGTGATATAATGAGCGTAGGCTATATCCAGGGAATAGTTGTTGTTACTTTTCACAAATCAGTATCCCTCCGCGTCTGAGAACCGTTACAACTGTTACATTGATTGATTGATTGATTGATTGAAAAGTTTATTAACAGCTTGTATATTGGGTACAGTACAGTACAGCTCAAAACATACAATTGTTAAGGGGATGCAGACCAGAGAAAGACTTTCGTCTTGTTTACATCAGGGTCCCCCATTTCCAATTCAACATGTCATTTAAGACATATAAGACATACAGATGGCTTATTTACAATTTACATACAGGTGGTTTTTTACATACAGATTGCTTATTTACAATTTTCATTTTAGATTTCGTTCTAATACATCCTAACCGGACATTTAAGACATACCAAGTCTACAGATATACAGTTAGTAACAGAGTCTAAAATGCGAGTATATACATAGATGGGGGGGGGGGGGGGGAAGCTGTCCATTGAACGACAGGTTGAGATTTGTACCATTACCGGGCCCAGTTTTGCAATGCTCTCCCCCGAAGGTGCTCTTTAAGAGAGGTTTTGAAGGTAAGTATAGTTTTACTTTCCTTTACAGTTGTGGGAAGAGCGTTCCACCTTGATGTGGCATAATTGCGAAACGTGTATTCCCCCTTTTTTGTGCCAAATCTGGGTTTCACATGATTTGTGGAGCTCCCTCTGGTGTTATGATCATGGTATTCCTTGACCTTTGGGAAGAATTTTGACATGTACATGGATACCATAGAGGTGTAGTGGATCTTGTAGACCAGGCCCATTGCAAGTAGCTGTACTCTGTCGTCTACTCTAAGCCATCCTAGGTTGTCAAAGTGGGCAGAGGTGAGGTGGGTTCTAGATGAAAGGTCAAGCAGTAGTCTGACCAGTTTATTTTGCGATGTTTGAAGTTTTATTTTTAGCGCCTTGGAGGTGCTATGGTACCATGACGTGCAAGCATAGTCATAGTACCCTTGAATGAGTGCTCCTGCCAGAGTTTTCAGGGTGTTTTTTGTTTACCAGAGAGGAGATCCGGTATAGGAATCTAGTTCTTTGATTGACTTTTTTTATTACATTGGATGCCATTTTGTCACAGGAGAGGTTTGCCTCAAGAATAGATCCTAGGTATGTAATTTCCTTCTTACTTGTGACAATAATGTCGCCCACTGCAACTGAGAAGTCGTCGGATTTGCTGAGATTATGTTTCGAACCGAAGAGAATGGACTCTGTTTTACCCAGGTGTAATGATAATTTATTATCGGCGAGCCAGGTGCAGATTCTGCCGAGCTCGGAGCTGAGGGTTTTTTCAACCTGCAACCTGTTCCTGTCAGAGACCAGCAGGGCTGAGTCGTCCGCGAACAGGAACAAGTTGCAGTCACATGCTGATGACATGTCATTTACATAAATTAGGAACAGTAACGGACCTAATATGCTTCCTTGTGGAACACCACAGCTCACTGGGAGGGGGGGGGACAGAGTACCGTTTACCTCCACCATCTGTTCTCTCCCCTCCAGGTAGGATTGCATCCAGCTCACCGATAGTTTATCAAAACCAATTGCTTTTAGCTTGTCAATCAGAATGGGGTGATTGACAGTGTCGAAAGCCTTTTGTAGGTCCAGCATCACCATGCCGCAGTACTTGCCCTCGTCCACCTCTTGTTTGATGTGGTCGCTCAAATAAAGAAGGCATGTGTCAGTGGAGTGGGATGTTCTAAAGCCAGATTGAAATTCATAGATTAGTTTCTTTTCCGCGAGGTACTTTTCGACCTGTTCATATACTATTTTTTCCATGACTTTCGAGATGGAGGTAAGTATAGAAACAGGGCGGTAGTTGCCTGGGTCCAATTTGCTGCCCTTTTTGTGCAGGGGGGTTACTCTTGCAATTTTGAAGTCTTTGGGTACTTTTCCCTGTTTTATGGAGAGGTTAATTATGTGAGCTATGACTGGTGAGATGGCGGTTGCTGTGTCTCTGAGGAATTTGGAGGGGATATTGTCGTGGCCAGTGGCCTTGTTAGGTTGGAGGGCGCTCAGTTTAATGAGTACCTCTGCTGTTGTTACCCTTGCTAGACTGAAATCATCTTTGCGTACCCCTAGATTTTTGTAGTAGGTCATGATGTGATCTACTCCAAAAAGCCCTGAGTGGGAGGGTAATTTATTTATAAGAGTTGTGGCTATGTTTGTGAAAAAAATGTTCAAGTACTTGGCCACATCCAGTTTGTCTGTGATGAGCCTGTTTGTTATCTGTCTTTATGTTTAAATTAGAAAATCTCGTTTTGAGTTTTTTACTGCAGCCAAGCTGGTTATTGAGTAATTTCCAAAGTTCACGGGGTTTATTTTTGTTTTCCTCAGTTTTGACATTGATGAAATTCTTTTTGGCAGTTTTGATCATGGAGCTTACGTCATTTCTTAGTCTGTTTATTTCAATTTTGAGTTCAGTCACGTGGGCCTGGAGTTCACTGCTCGTGCTTTTGGAAAGCATTGACTGACTTTTATGAAACTCAGAGCATTTTTTGTCTCTGGTTTTCATGGCGGTCAGTATGCCGGAGTGCATCCACGGCTCAGCGCGATGTTTTACCCTGGTTGTTCTTAGGGGGGCCAAATCATTGAGTATTGCAGAGAATTTGTTTTTGAAACCAAGCCATGTTTCTTCAACTTGTGTACCACTGAGCTCATCTGACCAGTCCAGGCTCTCCAGTTCTAGGTTAAAGGCCTCGCTAGAGTAGTTTTTGAGGTCTCTAGATATGACTGTTTTGTGACAGCCGGCCCTTTGTTTTAGCTTTTTGCGGGTACAGAATATCATATAATGATCACTTAACCCGCAAGCTATAACCCCTTTACTGGAGATCCTGGACTTGTCAGAGGTCAGAATGAGATCAATGGTAGTTTGTGTTGTTTCACATACCCGGGTGGGTTGGGTGATTAGCTGGCTGAAGCCGTGCAGATCACAAATCCTACTGAAGGACTTGAAGACGGACGTGTCTTTACGTTGCATATCCGTGTTCCAGTCTCCATTACATTACGTCCGTCACGAAACTAACTAACTAACTAACAAAGCTTAAGATGGAAACATTTAAGGTTAACTTCGACCTCCGGGGTGGCCTTACTATGCAGGAGTGGATTGAGAAGTGCCTATCTCCAGAAAAACAAAGCACCTAAACGACGACATTCGCTATCTGTTATTGTTTTTGCATAGCAACCACCTCGCACTATGTTCTGTGCAGAAGGCAACGGAGGGACGAATTTATTTTATTCCCGGGCTGATTTTTAGTCCCAGTCCGCCACTGCAAGTGACCCTCAGTTAGTTGACTTTTATGTTCAACTGCTAAATTCGTTACTGATAAAAAAGGGCTTCTACTGTACCTAATTAAGTATTATTTTATTCTTTTTAAATGTTTTCCGGATTTCATATCATATAAACACCAAATCCAAGCATGCATTGCGGCTAAAACATCCAATCAGCGAGCTTAAAACCATAGCTGAGGATCTTGGGTAATCGCTCGAAATGCCTACGTCTGTTTCCGGTTATTTTTATTTTGAAATTCAGTTCCTGACGGACGCCAAAAAAGCCCGAGATTATGGAATTAAACCAATAAATAAAAGCAAGGATAATTGTGTGTTATAGGTGAGTAAATAACAGTGTGTTATTTTTAAAAGAATAACAAATTAGAAGGAAAAAAATATTTAAAAAATACAGATTTCAGTATCCTGAGGCTCTGAGCCCCATTTATTTTCCTCACTGCATTTCGTTGTCTCAGTACCTGTAATATGTGCAATAACAATAAAGTTGAATCTAATCTTGAGCAGGAACAAATGTATTTATTTAGTACATATCTGACATTAACGATTAAATACATGTGTGCATTCTTTATAAATGCAAACCGAGTCAAGCCGACTCCGGAGGTGGCGGTATGCACCTTAAAGTTGTTTGGAATCCGCCAAAAAACCGAGAGAAGAAGAAGACGAAGCCGACTCCGAGCTGTCCGACTTCAGGCGAGCTTTTTGAGACCTCCCCCGGCTGCGATCGGCTATTCTCGTCTACTTTCGAGGCGAGCCGCAACGCGTCTCAAACAAGCCTGTAGAAGTAGAAATACATTGCTTTTAAAATCGTGCTGTGCAACACGAAAAAAAGGGGAAAATCGTGTTGGTGAACACGAATCAATAGATTAAAAATCGTGTTGGTGAACACGAAATGCCATGAGACTGGGTTGCCTAATTACCTTAACACTAGAACCGCCAGAGGTTTTTGTATAGGCCTACCTAAAACCGTCAAATCCCGCTATTAGAATGCAATTTTTAACAACATAGGGTGCTACTCCATAACTTTTCTGACCTCCATAAATTGCCATTTACATGAGGATGTGACTAGCAGTTTGAAAGGATGTACTTGAATTATTATTATATATTATCATTATGTCAGTGGTCTAAAATGGTCATACAACGGTGCCAACAATATTATCGTTTATCGCAATAATTTCCGGGAAAATGTATCCAACAAAATTAATTATCATGAGAGGCCTATACATGAAACACACACACACAAACAAATCTACAGACTTACTCCAAACTGTCAAATATATTAATTAACGCACTCTCACTCTCATATACTCTTTGACTCTATTTTTGGCCTAGTAGAACAATAACCAGCAGACTTTTACTTTTTATCATTTCTACTGGATCTTAGATCTGCGCATGCGCAATACGGGTTGGGGATTGACCAACCGGCTCCCACTGCTCTGCTGTCTGTTAACGTTGTTAAGAGTGGTGGGGGCGGGGAGGAAGCGGATCGACAGCAAGCTGTCAACTCAACGTTGTAAATAACCAACCAAAAACGATCGCCGGTTCATCTTGTTTTTAGCGTGAGAATAGTTTGGGCAGCGTGAGAGCGTGAGATTGAGAGTGAAAGCGTGTGTCACACGCCAGATGCGTGAGAGTTGGCAACCCTGGTCACAATAGTCCGATATAAGCATGAAGAACAAACAAACATGGCCGGGGTCAAGTTGTGTTCCCTGGATGAACTAAGCAGGCAGAGTGCCTGTAGCTTCACGGAGCAGCTAGCAGAGAGACAAGAAGAAGCTAGCAGCAGCAGTCACTTGACAGAGCCGTCACTCAATGTGACCACGCCCTAATTTATGCAAAAACGTTAAGACCTAATATAAATAAAAGGGTCGTGTTAGAAAACAATTCACTCACAGATCCATAATCATGAAGGTGGAATCTAAATATATTCATAATAATATCTATTGCATCCATGGGTAGAAACATGTTTTTTTATGCTGTAAAGTTGGGCATTTTAACATGGGGTCTATGGAAATTGCTCCTTTCTGCAGTCAGTCCTTATCGGCCAATATATGAACTGCAGTGTGTGGCACTTCCGTATTGGCGTCCCGGCTCTTCCCCAGAGTTTGTCACGGTTTTAAGTTAGTGTGTCTGGTAGTGGGTGTTTTTCTGTTCTCCTTGTCATGTTTTCCTCCCTGTATATTGTCTGGTCTTTTTTCCCTGTGTTTTCCTGTCTGTCGTTAGTTTCCCTGGTGTGTCTAAATTCCTGATTGTTTTCACCTGTCACCCCTTCTGTGTCTCCTGTGCTAATCAGCGTCAGTCCCGCCCCTGATTATTCCCACCTGTGTTACCCTGTGTTTAAGGCCCAATCCCAAACCACTCCCTCGACCCTCCCCTCCGTGACGGAGTGAACTCCGTCTGTAGGCACACTCACAGCTGAATGAAGTTCCCTCCATTAAGGGTTAAGGGTATAAATACAGTAGCAAGCTTTGGGACGGCCTCCCCTCTCTCCGCAGGAAACGGACACGGACACGGACACGGACACGGACGTCATGGTGTCCAACCCACATCTGTCGGCTGCATTGACCTGCGTTGCTATCCGTCGCCTGTTAGCGGGTGCAATGGCAAGATCCAACAGAAGGCGCAGAAGGTTGAGGCGCATTTTAGCGATGTGCCAGTGGCAGGTAAACATTTCAATATTGCTAATACAACAATTATCTTCACTTTATTTCTTATATAGTAGCCTATGAGCTTTGTATGTGTAATACAAATAGATATTTAGATTTATTGTGATATACATTCATTTATTCTTTCCTTATAAGCTATAGGCCTACGTGTATATCTGTATAGTGTCTGTAGAATTCCAACACAGAGAAATGTTGTCAGTAGTTTATAGAATACAAAAGTGTGTGTGTGTGTGTGTGTGTGTGTGTGTGTGTGTGTGTGTGTGTGTGTGTGTGTGTGTGTGTGTGTGTGTGTGTGTGTGTGTGTGTGTGTGTGTGTGTGTGTGTGTGTGTGTGTGGTGTGTGTGTGTGTGTGTGTGTGTGTGGTGTGTGTGTGTGTGTGTGTGTGTGTGTGTGTGTGTGTGTGTGTGTTGTGTGTGTGGTGTGTGTGTGTGTGTGTGTGTGTGTGTGTGTGTGTGTGTGTGTGTGTGTGTGTGTGTGTGTGTGTGTGTGTGTGTGTGTGTGTGTGTGTGTGTGTGTGTGTGTGACCACGGATGGGGACAAGCCATCGAGGTGCTTGTTCTCCTCTACAGCTTGGCCCATGGACTATCGCTCTCTGGTGGGTTCAGCATTCGGGATTCCCAAATCGACGGTCCACAGGATCATCAAACACGTCACCGGGAAGATAAAGGCCAACCTGAAGACCCTCATTTCCCTGCCAACCGCAGATGAGCTGCCAGAGATTGCAGATGGCTTCTGTCAGTTTGAGCGTCCTGCATTTCACCGTGCTGCTGGTGCGATTGATTGATGCCATATTCGTAACGAGTACCACAAGGACATCAATTACAAGCTGTTTTCTTCCATCCAGATGCAGGCCATCTGTGACTCAACTGGGAGATTCCTGGATGTCTTCATCGGCTATCCAGGCTCCGTTCATGATGCCAGAGTACTGCGAAACAGCCCCATCTTCTGCCAGGCACTGTTTCCCCCAGCTGGTTGGTTCCTCCTTGGGGACGGTGGTTATCCCTGCCTGGAAAAACCAGTGGGATTACTCACACCCTACAAGGTCCCTCGCGGCCAGGTGCAGGCCAGATTCAACAGGCATCATGCCAGGGCTCGGTCTGTGGTGGAAAGAGCATTTGGAAGGATGAAGGCTCGCTGGAGGGCCACCCTTTTCAAAGCGCTGGAGGTCAGTCCAAGCTTTGCCCCTGACATCATTGCATGTTGTGCATTTCTGCACAATCTGTGCATAGACATGAACGATGTCCTTGAGGATGCTGAAGCCTTCCCCCCTGAAGATGGGGACCAGAGTCCTCCCCCTGCCGCAGCATGTGGACAGGAAAGTCCTGGACACCACCTAAGGAACAGGATTTCTGCACAACTCTCTGCTCCTGTCCAAATGGCACCACACCTGAGAGAGCACGATTACATCTAATGAACTTTGTTTTTTTGTGTTTTTTTTTGGCAAAACGTGGTTGTCTGTTAACTTGTGTTTTTGAAATGATGTGCACATATACCTGATTTAATTTTGTTTGTTTTAGTGAGCTCCACTTCTCACTTTAGAGAAAAGAGGTGAAATAAAATAAACCTGTGCACCGTTGATTTCAAACTTGGTTTTCCTGAATTGTCTTTCTGCATAATCCCAAATTGGAGACAAATGTCCTTACCTCTTGGATCATTCAATTACGAGCACAGAGCAAAGGTTCAGAAAATGAACACAGGTCTTCTAATACAATCACTTTTGTTTTTGAGTGAAACTCTGCAAATGGTTTGACATGAGCAATTAAGACCGTAAATGTCATGTATATTTTAATGCCTTCTGAAGCGCACAGACATATCTTTATTTAAAATGCTGATATTCAGGGTTAATCTTCAGACTTTGGAAAAAACACTTTAGTTCCGTGCACAACATTACTTTGTGCAAAACTTTTCCTTCTACATTATGAAACCCACACAGAACAATGTAGCCATCTAACAATCAAGCAAACGCAATGTCACCTTCATCACCCATCTACCTGTATTCACTATATCCCATACAATATTGAAGACATGAAGGACAGTACGTTAAATTATGTTTATTGTCTTCCAAATAAATAATACAAGCGAACAAAAACAAGTCTTTTAAGTAACATCAATAATCAGACATAGAAATAGCCAATGGTGGGGGGGGAAAAATAAATCACATTTTGTCGACCATTTTTTCGAACAGGGTTAGAAATGTATCTGAATGCTGCATTATTTCTCTGTGGCGTTCGTCCTCTTTTTCTGCCTCGCGTTCTAGGCACTCCAGCACTCCCATAGCACCTTTTCTTTTTTTGGGGGGGGGGGGCTGCTGGGTGGTTCCAGCCTCAGACAGTGATGAGGGTGGTGAGGGGTCTGGATCATCAGCCACATTTGGGGGGGGGAAGGAAGAGGAGCAGGAAGCAGCCTCCGGATCAAAGAGGATTGTGGGGTTTGCCAAGGCTGAGGCAACAAGGACAGGAGGACTAATTGAAGGCCTTGCACCTATGGCCTCATCCATGGCCATGAAGAAGGGCCATGTTGCAGGGGTTTCTTCCTCCTGATCAGTCCCTGTTCCAGTCCTTGGCCTTTTAAGTTCCTATTGCAAACAAATGCATGTTAGAAATCTTTGTTCAGCTTTTTCAAAAACAAACATGTTTTACAATAACAATACACCATTTACCTTGTATTTCTTTTTTAGATTCTCCCATTTCTTGGAGGCCTGTTTGTGAGACACATGTTGCCCAAGGTCCAGTTCCTTAATGATTGACCTGTTATAGAATATTTAAACAATATATATTGGTGTTAAGGCAATGACCTACAGTGCACAATCATTACTTTCATTGCACAAAATATGAATTGAGTGCATAACTCACTCCCATGCTTCTTTGGCAGCATTGCGTTTTTTGCAGAACAGGTCATCCTTTTATAGATTTATAAATACATGTTCACAAAGGCATGTTTTAGTTAAGGCAGGCAACGTATTATTTATCGTTTAAAAAAATAACCACATGGAACTCACATTTGTATGACGTTGTTTCCTCCATGCCCGAAAAACGGTTGCACACCTGTGGAGTGAGATTATCAAGCCTGCATCCATGCAAACTCGCTGTCGGAGGCTTTTATAACCCACTACGCCTCCGCCCTGATTGCTTTGGACCAGCCCTCAATATGGCGGACCCTTCGCGTGAACGCGCAAACGGAGGGGTAGGGTGTAGGGGGGCGGTTTGGGAATGGGCCTAAATTCCCCTGTCTCCCAGTGTTCAGGCCCATTCCCAAACCGCCCCCTACACCCTACCCCTACACCCTACCCCTCAGTTTGCGCGTTCACGCGGAGGGTCCGCCATATTAAAGGCTGTTCCAAAGCAACGAGTGTGGAGCGGTGTGGAGGGGGAGTGGGCTATCAAGCCCTCAAACAGCGAGTCTGCAGCGATGCTGACTTGAGACCGGTCTCTACCTGACCGGAGTCACGCTGTGTGTGTCCGTCGGGAAACAAGCTGTTAAAAAGTAGTTCCAGCAAACATCCACTGATAAACTACCATGTTAACAACCTCATGATAACCTCATATGTTTTTAACATAGGATCATACCTGTGTTTAGTCTAGAAAAAGGTAAACATGTGCATTTTATTATAAAGTTGTGTATATTTACAGACCGTTGCAAAAACTAAGAAGCTTATAAACATCAGGTTTAAAACTAAAAGAGCTTTGAAACACAATGAAAGATGTTTGGAGTTTTATTTGAGTTATTCATTTAAACTTTTTTTCTAAGAGATGCTGATTTGAAACCGGCATTTCCTGTTTCTGCCGGAGAGAGGGGAGTTTGTCCCAAAGCTTGCTGCTGTATTTACTCCCTCCATCTGACAGGAGGGAGCCTCGTTGAGCTGCGAGTGTGGCAACAGACGGAGTTCACTCCGTCACGGAGGGGTAGGGTCGAGGCAGTGGTTTGGGATTGGGCCTCAGTGTCAGTTCGTTTTTGTCTCTTGTCATGTTCAGGTCTATGCGTATTGTACTCTTGAAAAGTTTGATTCCTCACTACGTGAGCGCTTTAATTTTTTGTTCTCTATTTTTGTCATCTCGGCTAGAGATTTGATAGTTACCTTTTTTGTTGTTCAATGCTGTTTTGGAAAATAAAGTATCTTACAAATACTTTACCTCTGTCTCCCGGGTCTTGCAATTGGGTCCTACATCCTAAGTGTCTGAGTCCGTAACAGAGTTTGCCGCTTGGTTGCAACGCAAGCCCTTGGCAATTGTCGCTTCTGGAGGGGAGTTTCTACAGCTTGTATTTTCGTTGTTAATAAACAGATTAATGTCATTGTATCTGTTTTGTTGTTTAATATTTTAATTCTGGTTGAACATTTTTATTTAAATGGTTCAGATGATTCTTATTTGATAATGATATCAATGAATCTAAACAAACCATGTTATTCCGTTAAGACAATCATGACAGTATAGTAAAAAAGCAAGATACAATTCATGTTTTTTTATCCAACCCTTTCATTGGGTTTCGAAACTGGCGAACAATTTGTAATGCTTGAGTGTAAGTAGTTCTTGACAGAACGTTTCGTAGTCCTTTCTTTGCTCAAATGCAAAGGTGAAGAGCTCGTATGGTGAGTCATCCTCATCCGTCTCCCCTTGCCATGTATTATGTATTTTATACATAAAGAAAGTGTCTGTTTTTTCCTAACTGAACAGAATTATCATAATAGCTGCAATATGTAAAGCCTCTAACAGCCTGCCATGTATTACAGTTCAGCTAATGTACCTGTAGAGATGGTGCTGCAAGAGGTAGCCCTAGGATAGGCTTTTAAATCAGCACACAATAGTTGCACCTTGGACCTGAATGAGTGAAACAAAAATTAAGTTTCTAAGCTTTAGAAACTGCATTTAAGATTACGAAATATTAGCAAGCAAGTAGTGGCATCTGATGCCACGGAGTAGTGGCATCTGCAAATACGGGTTTAAATAGCAGCATTTGCCACGGAAGGCGAGTGGCAGCTACCGTAAACTTTCTCTTACTCTGGCATCTTGTGGCAACTCCCGTTCAGCAGCGGCAGATGCCTCGGCAAGTTGTGGCATCTGTGGCATCTGTGGCATATGCCGGAAGTGCTTTGCCACAGATGCCACGGAGTAGTGGCCTCTGTGGCAGATGCCGGAAGTACTTGCCACTGCCTGCAGATGCCACGTAATGCGCTTGCTGTGTCTCTAAAAGACATAAAAAAAGGTGCATTTTGCATGATAGTTCCCCTTTAAAGTATATTTTGCCTATTTAAAAAAAAAAATCTAAATCGTGTGTAGGGAACACCACATTTATTTTTTGCATTTAACGCTTATGCCAGTATTTCAATGCCCTTTATTTGCAAAAACATTACTTAATCAGATGTTTGTTGTTTCCCTTTTGGTGTTCAGGAATTCCTTTCCCGCCTTTTCCATCTAATTCAACTTGCTCGTCTGGAAACGTGTGTACTTAAGGGTCACGCCCTCAGTCACTTATCTTGTGGGTGGTACAAACATCCTGCCAACAGATCTGCTACAGCAACCCTTCAGACTGCCATTTTACTGCTGTCACTGTCACCATGTGAAAGCTAGAGGTCGTAGTTGCTTCACCGGGAGTCAATGAAGTTGAAAAACTGATCAGGCAGTTCATGTGAGATCTTGAAGTTATATTTTTTCACCACAACAGAAGAACCTGCAAAGTGTTTTTATACTTACTGTCCCTCATGTTTACATTCAAATGCTTTCTGTGTGAATTGGGATCGTAAGATTCTCATATGTGTCTCACTCAAAGCAAATATTGAAACAGTTTGTTCAACATATTCATTTATCCTGATCTCAAAATATGCAAATGAAATCTTCATTTTAATGTTGATCTACTGTGGACCTTCTTCCTTCTTGCCAGCACTATTAATATTAGGATACAATTAGTAAAGATACTTTATTGTGAGGCGTTGTTTGGGATTTATACCCTCAAACAATGGAGGTGGGACAAAGCTATTTGATTCGGGCAACACCTAAGGAGAGCCAACGTGTGTTATTTAGTGGTGATATTCAACAATACTTCAGCTGACACAAAATAAACCAGACCTAAAACACTGCATGTATACAGTTTTCCTGGACACTTATGTGGAACCAAACTCTTTTAATTTGACATATAATTGTCATTTGCACCACATGTGTTGTGGGAAACGGCATTCGATCTCTCTGTCTACACACAAACTGAAAGATTGACATTAAAGTTTACTTTGACTTTTGATGTGCTTTGTGAGTTTTATGTTACTAATCTAACTAATCTGACAGCGGCTTTGGTTGCCGCTGTGGTGTAATACTTAGCATAAAATCAGTCAGTTTTTTAAAAAAAAATTACTTTTCACTTTTGAGTGGTATCAAACCTTTTCTTTAGTGAAAATAACTCTGCATGCAGTGAAAAATGAGCAAGGAGGAAGTCCATTTAACTTTGTTGAACAAAGCAGCCATAGAATGACAAAGTGTTGAATCTTAAAACAGTAGCATACTAAATCAAAGTTCCCATATTAGTGCTGATGCCTGTTCGTTTCGAAGTGGTTGGACTTGTTTCAAACATAACAGAGCGTTCTGCCTTTGAGCCATACCATTGTATAATAAATTAGGTTGTCTCCTGCCAACTGAAACTCACGGTAGAATTCTGAACAAGTGAACTATACAACCTAATGGGTATGAATGTAGTGAGTGAAAAATGTTAAAATAACCATGATGTTGTGCCTTTTTCATCTTATTGATACACTCTTTATGTGGTTGAATTGTATGTTGCATAGTCTAACCCAGGGGTTCCCAACCCCCGGTCCGCAAACCGGTACCGGGCCGCGGAGGTGTTACTGCCGGGCCGCGAAATAGCTGTGAGTTTATCGTAATATTTGCAGAATTATAAATATATAAAAATATTTTATCATAATATTTTTTTTTAAAACTGTTTAATGTTCACACCTATACAGTCATATTATTTCAGTAGCCTAGTTAATCTTTCACCAGATAACCGTTGAAAATGGCTTTTATGATGTTCCGAGGGATTCGGCGGCTCAGCATGGTCTCAGCCTCTTGTGCGCACGAGAAAGTTACCGGTGCGCCAAGTAGGAAGAGGAGCGCACAGGAGACAACCGTTTAATTGCAGACTGTTATGTTTATGTGGGGAAATGGCAGTGCATACATTATTTGAGATATATTTCAAACTCGGACTTCATTTTAAGGACATGTCGGCCAGGGGTGTAGAGCTATATGTTTATTTGATTAGCTTTTCGTTTTAATGACTGATTTTAAATGCCATTTTTGTAAAGCACTTTGAATTGCCTTGTGTTGAAAAGTGCTATATAAATAAACTTGTCTTGCCTTGCCTTTGTTTAAGCACCGGATTGGCAAAACAGGAGAGTAAACCAGTCTGCCTTGAACTATGAATTCATGTCCGGGACTCTCACGGTATCTGCTGCCTGCCCGCAGCTGTTTTATAGAAGGAAAACCTCCTTCACTTCATGAAATGGCTGCAGCACCAGGAGGCAGCGGGAGGTGTAACTCCGCCTCTGAGAAGTGCAGCACCAGCGCGCCGAGAGCTGTGCCTTTTTACGCACTGCCTTCGCTGTGTTTACCTTCATTAGAACAGCGAGTGACTGCAGGCTGCTACGTGTTAACCACACACATCTCTACACACATCTCTACACACATCGAACTGCCCGATTACTCCCCCTTTTATTAGTTTTATGAAGGAGATGTCCAGTCACCAAGGCGCATGATGTGTGTGTGCTCTGCTCAGCTCTGTGTTTGTGTCTGTCTGACACCGGCATTTGTTTTCAAATGACCATGAACAGTAATTTACACACATCTGGCTAACTCCATAGGTAGCCTATATGCGGGTGTTCCCAAAATAAATTAGTTTAATCTTAATCTCGATGTAGTGCTAATTGCTGTCGGACGTGCACCGGAACGAACGTCACTATAATAATAATAATAATAATAATACATGGGACTTTTATAGCGCTTTTCATGAAACTCAAAGACGCTTTGACAGAGAATTAAGAGGCGAAAAAAAGACGAGAAAAAAAAGAAAAAAAGAAAAAAAAGAGATAACAAAGAAATACAAAAAGAGAACAGAACAGAAAATAGGGGGGGGGAGGGGGTGGTCAGTGGTTGAATGCAGTGTTGAACAGGTGGGTTTTGAGTGATGTTTTGAATGCTGTGAGGGAGGAAGAATCTCTGA